GCACCCAGTCCCCTAGCGTGCCCCCGGACGAGCGGCCCCGCCCCCGGGTTCCCGGCGCGTGAGTGGCCCCCACCTCCCGGGCGCCTGGCGCATGAGTGGCCTCGCCCCCGGGCGCCCGGGAGCCCATAAAGGTTGGGGACCACTGGATTAGATGACTACTTTTGTGATCCAGTAAGGAAATTCTTGTGTTTCCATGGCTTATGGATCTTATCAGGGGACATAAGAGGAAGCATGTGTGGATAAAACACAAGACTGGAAGTCAAGTGACCTTTATTTCCAATTCTGTGACTTCATATGTGAACTTGAGCAAACTATCCTCTTTGTGTTTAATTTTTCTCTTCTGTAATGTGGTGATAGTACCTCTGCTTCCAAAGGCTTAATTCACAAACGTTTTTACAGTGCATTATGATTCTTGAATGGAAGGTGCTATGAAATTTTAAAGATTATACTTACTGAATAACTTGGATATCAGATCCATAGACTAACTGGCAATGCAAAAATCAGTTGTAGATAAAGCAGCCTGACATTCTCAGTGTAATAGAACCACTTAGCTGAAAATTCAAGTATCAATGATCAGCCTTTGAAAAAACAGAAAAAAACCCTAAGGACTAGTCAGTGTACACTTGTTAAGTTGCATTGCTGTTCATGAGTACCATAATTCTGTCTCAGGCAGATTCTGAATCCCATTTTTTATTGTGTTCAATCTTATTTTCTCCCTTTCTTCCATCTACATTTTGCTACTATGTTCTTCAATAGCTGCAATACTTCTTTGTAGTCAGCAAAGAATGATGATGCAAGGTAATGGAAAAAGCTAGTAACTTCAGTAAAGAAATTGTAGTTTGTATAATTCTTTAAAACATTAAAACCTAGGTTTTAGATTTAAAATAAAACAAATGGTTGAATCTAGTATGCTGTTTGATTTCATAATTTGATCTCTAGAGGAAGACAATAGTAGTTCTGGATTTACCTCACTTGAATCAAACTTCTGCTGACTAAGCCCTGAAATTACTGTTAATCGCCACAAGGCATTTATTTATGGGATATCTAACTAAGTGAAACCATCATATTTTACTCCCAGATATGGAGGGTATATTCTAAAAGGGAAGGAAACTTTGAAACAGAACTTTTTCAGTAAAAGCAACGGAGTCACAAGACAAAGATGATTTAAAATGAATGGGGGAAGTAGAATGTAACTCATGCTTTCTCTCTTATTGGGGGCAGTTTTAGAACGCTGAGGAGTGATATTGTCATCAGTGGGACATGGAATGAATTGTCTTTCTGATACTTACTGTTGGAGAAGTATGTTAAAAGATTACACACTGCAGTATTGGATAAAATTCATGACGGCCAGGAAGTTAACTCATACATAGACCTGATGGAGCTCAAGGCTACAGTCCATATTTTTTTTGTTTTCCTTATTTTTGTTATGAAGTCAAGACTTTAAATACTCTCTTGATGACCTGCTTTATAATCTTCCCATTGATGATAAATCCCAGAATGCAGAATGATACTAATGGTTTATTAAACGCACTATTCACATTTTAAGGCTTGCTTCCACAGTCTTTCACAGAGAATGAAATCTTTAATATTAAGAAGTAGTTTTTTGTAATTGTCTCTTTAGATTTTGGTGTTTAGGAAGTTGTTAGTGAAAGTGCCTTATTTTGTAATCATTCTTTACTTTTAAAATAGTTAAATCATTTCATTGTTCCAAGACATTTGTTGTGACAATTGTAATATTCTCCAGGGATCTTTACTCTTTTCTTTTGTTGGGGATGAGGTTGGAGGAGGATTGGCAATCTGATTTAAAATGCTAACAATGGTAATCTATTCTATACTGGTTTGTTAGCTGTTGTAATGAGCATTATGAAAGATTTTAGAAACTCTTCTATTGTATATAAATTATTGTTAACAAACTAAAGCTCCAGCAATAAGGCAACAAGCTCATGCAAATAATGGTATTTATCACACAGACTATTTATGTATTTCTTGGTTCACTTTAATAATTGATTTTAAATTACTTTCATATTTAATTTTAGTATTTAAAACATTATCTCTCACAGTCCTGGCTTTCTTAAACTGTGCTTGAATAGAAATCTCTTTTGCATGGTTTCGGGAACACTACTAAAGAGTTTGGCTGGCACTTCAACATGCTTGTCCAGTGTAGATTGGCAAGGTGTAGAGCAGGGTCTGCCAAGTCTGTGTCCCTGCTGACCTACTACCAAGGTTGAGCCTGCCAAGGGCTGTCATCCTTGCACAGAGAATCTTTGTCAGATTAGTTGCCATTGATCCACCATTTATGAGGTAGTGTCTCTGAATTCTGGGTCAGTGGATGTCACAAACTGCCATTAACTCTCAGTGCAAGAGGAGAAGTTATATTAGTGCATTACTGTTGTAAATCTACCTTCTAAATTCTGGGAATTTTGTAAGCTTGTCACAGCTTAAGCACAGTTTAACTGGATTCTTCTGTATCTTTCCTTTTTTAAGTTTATAAAATCCCTCCTTTCAGATTAAACTGATTTTGTGTCCAATTCATTTTCTCATGGGTAGTCTTTTGTACTCTATTCAGGCTCTTGCATATGGGCAACTAAACTTTTGGAAGGGTTTTGCAGCTTCTTAAATGCCTCTTTATTATTATTAATATTAATATTTATTATTGTGTTGCAGGACATTTGAAAAATGCTGGCTTAATGGACCTGGAGAATGTCTTCCCTTTTTTTCACAGAACAGGTATAGTGTGGGCTACAGTTGTGTACATTTTCTCATTTAGTGATGAATATAGTTCATTTTAAATGACCATCTAGTTCTTGGTACCTGTTTGCTGAAACTGCCCACAAAGGTATCAATTTTTGTCCTTGTTTTAGAGAATTTCTCACGTGGATAATTGTTAATTGCAGGTTTGCTACTTGGACATCTACCATAGTTTAGGTGAAGTGTCAGGTGTGAATATCATAAGAATTACCAAGCATTACTCGGGTCCTTAACGCAATTTTTTCCTTGCGAGTCTCTGGATCAGGGGCTTCATTATGCAGGCTGCCCTGGGGAGACAGGACTACCCCAGCTCTTACCGCAGTAGCTTGGGCTCTGGTGAGATGTTGTATGTGTATATGTATATATATATGTGTATGTATATGTATGTGTGTATGTGTATATGTATATAGGCTGCTGTAGCTCCAGCAGGCACAGCCCGGAGAGGGATGCATTTGCTCTGGCTGGGGGACTGACTGAGTGACAGACTTATAGACATATATATATAAAATCATAGATATCTTTATCTCCACCTCTGTCCCCTGCTGCTCCAATGGGGTTATAGCTGTCCTGGACTCCTCTTTGGCCCCTTGCTACTCCCTTGTGATCATTATACAGTATAATTGTCTCTGCTTTGCATCCCATATACCCTGCTGGCCCCATTTGGTTATGATATATTGTGGAGCCCACCCTTTGTTTTACCAGAACCAATCCCATTCCAGCACATCTCATTTTCCTTGCCCAATCAATCTCTTGCCTTGCTTTAAGTTATGATAAGAGGAAGGTTCATATCTAGGTGACCCTAGCTCTTATTGTTTAGGAGGAGTTCTTGAATAAATGGACTGACAGACAAACTCTCAAATATATAGCAGAAAAGATACTGATTATAAACCGTATAACATGTTTGTTTACCTTTGTAAGCTTCATATAATAAATCTGTTTCAAGTGAGGTAGGGATATGGAAATAAAAGCAATTATTGATTTGGAAAGCAGTATTTTTTGAAGCATTTCATAGCTTTTGTTGTTAAATAGCTTGTTCTTAAATGAGCACTAGCATCCACAATAAATAATTGTTCTATTTCTACTATCTGTATATTCATAAAAATTGCCTTTTGAATAGACATAAGCAAGTTTAATGGTAATATGAAATTAATTGTCACTAAAATTTATGTGGATATTCAGTTGGCTGAAATTTAAAACCAGAACATTCTTCCTTGACCTTGTTGCCAACAATTATTTTTTTTAATTTTAAAGTTATTTTGTTTGTGAAAGTATCTGAATTCTTAGCTCTGAAATGGAAACTTGATGTGGCACAAGTAGTGGCAATGCAGACTTCCTTTTAACCACCTCATGAAAGGTCATCATTCATGATCTGAAATGAAACTGGTTTAGTGTGGGAAAGTAATTTCTCTCAGGCCAAGTGGACTCTACAGACCTATATTACTATGTTATGCTGATTTTTCATACCCGTGAGCGACATAGTTATATAGACCTAAACATTTATGTAGGCAGCATTATTTTGAAGTGAAAGCTTTTTCTGTCATCCTAACTACCACCTCTTGGGGGAGGTGGGTTAATTATGCTGATGGTAGAAGCTCTCCTGTTGGCATAATAACATCTTCACTACAGCTGCAGCATTGCATGTGCAGACAAGCCCTCAGTAACCATTCAGATCTTCACATATGAGGTAGAATTTACATGGAAAACTCTGTTGTAACCATCATATCCTAGAAACAACCAATGAACTTTTGTTCTCAAACATTTGTAATGAATCCTGTAGCATGATGCGTAACCAGGGGCTGCAAACTAGCAGTGAATATGAAATGAGTAAGCTCACTAGTTGGCAAAGTGGTACCAGAAAAATATCTGCACTTAGGGCAAACATCAGGTGAAGCGGAAGAACAGTAAAGGGTCCTCATAGCTTCAGATAATTGTTAATCAAATTATTTGGTGTCCATCATAGAAAGAGAAGTTCCTCTGTGTGTGTGTGTGTGTGTGTGTGTGTGTGTGTGTGTGTGTACTGATCTGTATTTTGTTCAGGTAAGAGAGCCATTTATGCCACATTTAATGTTAATAAATGTATGGAATTAATAAAGTTGCTGTGACCTGCAGATGGCTTGCATAGTACACACCTTTCAGACATGACTGCTATGATTCTAACCAAACTTTCAATTGTGTAGATAAATGGCAGGCAGCTTTCTGTTTATGTAAGGAAACAGTCCCTCAAGGTGGCTACTTAACTAACAAATGCATTCGTTGTTTCAGACTGGATATGGTATGCAGGAATCCTAATGTTTCTGTCTCTTGCATGTTTAGACCTATAGACGAATTCATCAGGAAGAGGAGGATAATACTTGTGCTCCTGCAGTGTAATCTATTTTAATGTTGCAAGTGGAAGGAAGCTCATGAGGATTATTCGTTCTTGTCCATTTCATTCTTTATGTAACAGTTTAGATGGAGAAATGAAGGCTTTATTTTGTATCATGATCTACCAATCACGTTACCTTTTTTGATATGTTTTGGCACAAATCTTATTCAGGGCCTATTAATCTAGAAGTTTGGATGTTATGATAGTGGGCTAGAGGTGTTGTAATAGAAGGTGTAGGTAGGGTTTTTCACATATTAATAAGTGTGAGGTGAAGAAAAATGTGTAATATCAGAGATGTGGGTTGTTTGTTTTTGATAACGGCAATTGTTTGTTTCAGCTACTAATCTCATAGTTGTTTGGCTCTATAGGTGAAAGACTTATAAATAAAATAGTTCCTTGACAAATGAAACTTAATCTGCAATTTCTACTGATAACCAGCTTTGTTTATATTCAGCTGGCCTGATATGGTACCAAGAAGGGGTTCAAACAATGGACTTGTTCGCACAGATTGTTTCCTTTTACTTGCTGCAACTGTTAGAAAGAACTCTAGATGTACAAATCAAGTCTTCCCCAAAGTCTAGTTTGCATATAGAAATATTTGCTTGTGTTCAGTAACTAAGCGCACACTATGCCTTCTAGCAAGTTGCATTATGATTTTATACCATCAGAGAAGAGCCACGTGTGTTACTTGCCACATGAATATGCACAATTTGGATAGCCAAAGCTATATAAAAACAAAAATCTGATGTTCCAAGTACTTGAATTGCTGAGTAGGATAAATGTTTGTGAAAATTAGACATTTCACTGTGGAGTCTTTAGATTTCAAGGGATTTTATTTGGTCTGTTAAAACTGTTCATGATGGCTTTTATTTTTATTTGTGAAAAGGAAACTAGAATAGTCTTTGCTGTTGTCTGGGATGAGCTCTTGGAAAACTTACATGTACTGTTCTGAATAAGCATCTAAGCTTAAAGTTCATTTCTGAGTAGTTGATGTAGGTGAGAGGGAATGTTGTATTCTGGCTACTAGGGATGTGAACAACTAGTCACTCCTCCCCCACCTTCTGCTGCCTCTATCAGAAAGAGGCAGCGGGGTGGGGAAGAGGAGGTGTTTCAAAGTGGCAGTGCCACTTGGAGCCCGTGGTTAGCTAGGGACTGCCCAGCTGGCCTCAGACTCCATGCGTCGCTACTACTGCTTAATTCCCCCACTGGCCCCGTGTTCCCCACAGTATTTTCACCTTTGAAGTGTAGCAACAGCCCTGCTCAGTTAACAACAATTTTTGTTTTTAGTTTGTCTAGTTGAAATTCTTAGATCCTCATCTGTGAAGTTAAGGGGATCTCACAAGCCAATCTAGTACAATTAACCACCTATGAATTGACAATGGTTGAGTCAATTTTGCTATTGTTCGTATAAGGCTATGTTTCAAGTACATGGATTGAGTATAGTTGGGTGTAGTCATAAATTCCTGTGTAAATGAGTTTTTATTCAGCACTTTGGACTGTCCATTTCTCACTTCCGTTTGGAAGAACACGTAGAAGGATTCTTGCCACGCAACATGAATGAGCCAAATAGTTGAGAGAGGACTTTCTCATTTTAAAGCTTTCCCTCTAGATGGGTTATACATTGCAAAATGTTGCACAAAACGTGGATCAGAGTAACTGTCTTATCAGACATACATCTGACAAAGTGGGTCTGCCCACGAAAGCTTATGCTCCAATAAATCTGCTAGTCTGAATCTGTGGCACCTTACAAACTAACTCAGCTACCTCTCTGATACTTGTCTTATCAGACTTTTTTGGTGCATTCCATTACTGAGAGATGGTGAAAAGATAAAACTAGTTTGGAATGGCTTATTGAACACCACAGTCTCAGACTCCAATTAGGGATGTTAAATTTAGATTAGTTGGTGAATCGAATAATTGATGCAATTTGCATCAAATATTTGATTTGTTAAGGGCTCTTCCGCCTTTGGAATATAGGAACAGCCCTTGGACAGTTGATACACTTCAAAGGCAAAAGTGCTGCAGGGAGCACAGGGCAAGGGACTCAAGCACTCCCCTGCTGGCTCCATGATCTCCGCAATGTTTCAAAGCAGCAGTGCCATGTGGAGCCCTGGGTCAACAGGGGAGTCCCCAGCTGACCCTGGACTGCACATGGTGTTTTAAAGCAGTAGATCCCGGGTTCCACACCGTACTGCTGCTTTGAAGTACCCCTTCCTCATCTCCCCCCCCCCCCCCGCAATTGCTAGAGGCAACAGTGGGGGGGAGCAACTAGTTGACTAGTGTGTTGACTATCCAAATAACATTTGCTAGTGGACTAGTCATTCACATCCCTAATTCCAATATGAGTTTTGTCCCTCTTTGCATCACGTAGTGGCACATGAAGGGAGGAGATTCTTTCCATTGCTCTTCCTCTCTTCAGCTGTTCTAAATAACAACCCAGAAGTGTGCACAAAGAATCTTACGATTAAATGCTTTCCCAATGGTATCCTTTAACAAGACACAACAACTAGACCTTTCTAGACATCCATTATAGTTTTTGGCATTCTCCTGAAAAATGGGAATGGTTATGATCATTTCTCAGTGATCCACAGGAATTCCAAAAGTCTCAACCTGC